TTCGTATTTAGCATTTTTAATCGAAAATGCTGTTTTTTATACTCTCGCAACCTGTTGCTACAGAGTATAATAGTTTTGTTCACCTAACGGTTGTTTGTATCACCTAAAACTAATCGAGTTAGATATAGGGTTATATATATATAAATGATCAGGATGAAGAGACGAGTTGAAATCCGGGTGACTGTCTGTCCGTCCGTCCGTCCGTGCAAGCTCTAACTTGAGTAAAAATTGAGATATCTTTATGAAACTTGGTAGACATGTTTCTTGGTACTGTGAGACACTGCAATACCAACGCAGATGGGCGTAATCGGACCACTGCCACGCCCACAAAACGCCATTAATCCAAAACAAATAACTTGCCATAACTAAGCTCCGCAATAAGATACAAGACTGTTATTTGGTACACAGGATCACATTAGGGAGAGGCATCTGCAGTTAAAACTTTTTTTAAAAAGTGGGCGTGGTCCCGCCTCTAATAGGTTTAATGTGCATATCTCCTAAACCGCTAATGCTATAATAACAAAATTCACTAGAAGCAAATGTTTTCAGCACTTCTATTGACGGTGTGAAAATAGTTGAAATCGGGTGGCAACTCCGCCCACTCCCCATATAACGGTACTGTTAAAAACTACTAAAAGCGCGATAAATCAAGCACTAAACACGCCAGAGACATTTAATTTTATCTCTGAGATGGTATAAATTGGCTTTGTAGAAACCGCGTTCAAAATTAGTCAGTGGGCGTGGCACAGCCCACTTTTAGGTGAAAACCCATATCTTGAGATCTGCTCAACCGATTTCAACCAAATTCGGTGCATAACGTTCTTTTCATGTTTCTATATCATAGTGCGAAAATGGGCGAAATCGGACTACAACCACGCTTACTTCCCATGTAACACCATTTTCAATTCCATCTGATTCTTTCACTTTCCACTATGCAAATCAGGTAACAATGATTATATCGGGGTAAAACTTTGCGTGAATAATGCAATTAAAGTATGCCACCTTGCGGCCAAAAATTGTCTAAATCGAACCAAAACTGTTCAAACCCCTAAGTACTAACTATGTGGACCCCAGTGCCTATAGTTGACCTTCTACCGAAAATATCAGTCAATCCACAAAGAAATCTCAAACGAGTATACCATTTGACTTTGCGAGAGTATAAAATGTTCGGTTACATCCGAACTTAGGCCTTCCTTACTTGTTTAATATCCTTTTCGTGTATGGGTATCTGGTGAAAACCGTTTTTAAGGTCTAACACTGTGAAGAATTTGTTTTTCCCAAGTTGGGTGAGGACTTCATTTTTTTCTGGGATGGGGTATTTGTCTGGTGTTGTTACACTGTATAGTTTACGATAGTCTATTACCATTCTGTATTTTTTCTCCTTTGATGCATTGAGTTTCTTTGGGACTATCCAGACTAGTGAGTTGTAAGGTGATCTTGAGTGTCTGATTATGCCTTGATCTAGCAATTCTTTGATTTGTTTTTCAACTTCGTCCTTCATTGCCATTGGGTAGGGGTAGTATTTTGAATAAACTGGCCTATCTGTTGTTGTTTTTATTTCTGCTACTACTGTCGCTGTATATGTCAATTTCTCATTCGGTTCTGGATATCTAGCGTTGAGTTTTGGTTGCTGTATATGTATTGTGCTTTGTATCCTTGATTCTCCAATTTTAAACAGAGATGAAGGGCTTATGGTATGTCTATTGGCTCTTTTATTCCTAGGAGTCTAGGAAAATTTCCATTGAGTCCTTTTATGAATGTATCTAAAGCTTTGTTCCTATAGGTTGAGGGTGAAGGGCTTCGGGTCCCATTTCAAGACTCGATAAATTATTGAGTATGAGACAAAGGTGATTGTAAATTTCTTGGTAAAACTCTGGGATAGTTTTCCGTCCCTGTACTAAAAAGGCTAATTGACATCAAGGGTGGTAATGTCGCGTTTGTCCGCGTAATAGATTGTTAGGCAGTGTGAGATAGCTTTCCAGCCAAGTGGAGTATTATACGATTCTAGGACAACGTCGGCGTTGTCTACAATTTTATTTCTAATGACGCTTAAGATACGCTCTGATGCCTTCGTAGATCTTAAGCACGCGGTCTATACTTTTTCTCCATGAGTTAAATTCGCCGGGGTTGCCAGAGAATTCTCGCAGGCTTCGTATTATGTCAGGTATTTTGTCAAGATCGTCTAATCGTCCACGGTATTCTAAGTCAATAGTCTGGTCAATTGCGTTAGTCAGTATGCTATTTGGGTTATTCGCTATGTTCTCCCTAACCACAATTTCCTTAACAATTCTACTGATAAGAGCTTCTAATTCGGTAGTTGTATTGGGATTTTATGGAGCGAGAACATTTAGGTTTTGTGGAGGGGGAACGTTTGGATTTAAAACGGGTGGTGTAATAATGTTTTGATTTTGCATTTTTGTTTTAATGGTTGCTTTCTAACTTAAATGAAATCAATTAATTTAAGTTATCCTTTTTTGTTTTTCTTTACTTTTTTAAATCAGTTACTATTTTAAGTGATCATATTATTTTTTTTTTGTTTTTCGAGAAATTTCTATGAACTTTATTTTCACGATATTTTCCTATTTTCTTTCACTTACTTCTATCTGAATATGTCTTCTATTATTGTTTTTCTATGATACCTTTGTCTATGCTTACAGTAAGATCATCCCGCGGCGGAGTGGACTATCCTGTTTGTTTTCCACTACTAAGGTCCACTCTTTTTTCGCACTCTTTGCGGTTAGTTTGTTCTGCTGTCACAGGAGACTGCACTGATGTTGTAGGTTGCTGCTACTTGAGGAGCTGTTGGTTTCACCGTTGTTGCTGCTACTTAGCGTGGGTTGCGTTGCCGCGGTACCGATATTAGCACTACATTTAGACTTTTTACGGCGATCGCGACTGGCAGTTGGGCGCAAGTTATTATATTTTAAGTTACGTTTTTGAAAAAAAAAAATTTTTTAGGCCGAAGCCGTCTTTATTGAATCAAAGTGAAACTTAGACTAAGTTTACAATATTAACTTCTTAACATTAAACTTCTGCATCACGTTGGGGGCACAGGTGTACCGGCTATTGTTACGTTGATTCGCGAGGCAGACATGGCATCAGCATTTTATAAGTATTGTTGTTGGTGCGCTTCCGTATCGTGGGAAACATATAGTTCAAGGTTTTGAGTGTAAACAGCGTTAACTTGTACATACTCTGTTTTGATGCTTGAAAGGCAATGTAATGTAAAACATTGCCTTATTGCCCGGCTGAGTGCATCATGTCCATACTGTTAAAAGCGCATGATGTATATATGGAAAATAGGAAAAGAAACTTTAAAAAATCGTTTCGACTAAATTCTTATAATCGAAGTCCGCTTTTAAAAAAAAGTCAATCAAAATAGTAATTTGTAATAATACCTTTATACCTTAAACACCTTTATTATATATAATATTATTTATAATTTCATGTACAGTGTAGGTGAATGATGTAACTTATATTATGTAGGGTTTTGATGAATGTTATATGTATAATAACACCAAATTCCAACATATTTTGAATATTTTATGAATAGTGAATTGATACATTTATATATTCACTCGATTAACAAACTTTAAGTTTATAAAAAATGTGTATATTCTTACTATATAATTTTTTTATAAAATATCACATCCTAAACTTAAATATTAAAATAACGCTAGTAATAAATAATACGCACAAATATATTACAGGAATATGGAAAATGCTTTATTGTACTCATTGCCATTGCCCTTTTGCAGTGTTATGTTAAACAAACGAATGCCTTGAAACAAGGTGTAAGTTGACTTGTAGATATATACGATGTAAGTCCAATCTAAAAGTACAAACCTTGTCTTCATAAATTGTGTACATATGTATCATCTATATGCTTTTGCTAGCTACGGGGTTGTTATCTTATATTATCCTGAAAGATTGTTCCAGAAGTATTTTCACGAGACCTGCCATAAGTGACTACTATTGATCCAATGTACATTAATGTTGTCGAGCAATATGTGCCGCCACTCCAGTCGACTGGCCAATAAAAAGTTTCAACCGACTCCATTCCGACCTGCGCACCACACGTGAGTGGAATGTGTCGTTGGTTTCCCCGTACTGCAGTAGGCTGCCACCACTGCACCCTACAAAGACTACGTGACACTCGCGACAAACCCGAATTTTACAATTTAATTATGACGGACTCCAGTGTAGGATCAAGGGGATAAGTGCATTCTTGAGCTGCGATCCAGGAAATCAAGCTTAGATTAACAGTGTCGACTTATCTACGAATTGATAATGCTAATTTCGTAATGATTGCAGCTCATCGCTCGCTTCGTCCCGGCTGGAAGAGTCTCGGATATCCTCTCTAATTTCCTAATTTACACGGAATGAGTCCCCGCACGATTCTAACTACTTGTTTGCATGTCCTACGAATTCTACTCATCTAACACCCCTATCCCTATGGTCCGACCCCGCCGAAAAGGCACGTTTCTTGGACCTCCCGACTTGATCTTGATGACAATTAACTTATGTCTTGCCACCCAAACAGGGTCTGGATAACTGCTACAATAACAATAATATCAAGTGAACATTCCTGCAGCAGTATAACGACTAATCTTTGAACGCGACAAACTTCAGACAAGCAGTGAATGTCATTCATAGAGGTGCAGTTAACACCTGTATTGATTCCCTCCTAGTGAATCGCATTCCTGCAATTTAAGCACTATCCTTCGTAGAACAATAGCTCGTTTTGCCGCGTGAAATCAGGGTTAACCTCGAGCAACTTCATTCTGAATACTGTGGAAACTTCTATTATCCAGAATCGACCATTATATACTCGTACAAAACATGCATATGACTACTTGCAAATGCAATTTGCAATAAAATTATGTCAATCCTGAAATAATTTTTTATTACATTAAACCCATCCAACTGTGAAAATTCAACATTATAATGATTGTTCCTGTTATACTTTCCTTGATATTTTTTTTTTTTATGTTTTACAGATATTTACAGTAGATGCGAGAAATCACGGCGATAGTCCTCACACATCTGAGCATAGTTCTGCCCATATGGCAGTAGATATTTCAGAATTAATGAAACGTAGAGGAATTACGAAAACATGTGCAATGGGACATAGCATGGGAGGCAGGACGATGATGCATTTAGCTCTGAAGCATGTTAGTATTTCATTTTCGTTAATAGAATTTCGTCCGTTTATGAAACACTTAAATTTATTTATATTTTTTATTCTCAAGCCGGAATTAGTGGACCGGGCAATTATTATTGACATATCTCCTATTGCAGTGCCGCGAGATTTTTATCAAATGAATGATATATTTAAAGCTATGGAAAATGTTGATATTCCTGCGAAATATTCATTGGGACAAGGTCGCAAAATAGCTGAAAATCAAATTAAACACGCCGTGGGAGTCCAAGCTACTGTTGAGTTTATATTAATGAATTTGAGAAAACGAGATACTGGAGAGTATGTATAACAGAAAATTATAAAATTATAAAGGTCAGAAAATGCATTATCCTTCATAGTTCTAATATTTAATATGAAATTGTATTATTTTCTCATGAAGTTTGTGTTGCTTGTTCAACATAGGGTTCTATAATGTTTAATTCGAATCGAGATTAAAACAATTTAGCAAGAAACGACTGCTGAAGAAATTATTTCTAGAGCCAAAATTTTGTTTCAACTGGCATTCCGTTCATACTACCAACTTTATTTGCTGTCGATATATTTGACATCTTATCTTTAGTTTGTAGGGCAAACGGGTAAGTGGTGAATATAATATCAAAAAATATTGACTCAACTAATATTGGACATGCTGCCGAAGTAGTAGGTTTTGGTGCGAACTATCTTTCTTGCTTTTATTTTATCAATGATATTTTATTTCTAATTGTTACATAAAGGATATATGGCAGGTTTAGTGTATATGTATGTGGCAAATACAAAGCGTTCATTGTGGTATACCCTTTGTTTCCTGCGCTTTGTTGTTTTAGCATGAACTGTGACAGTTAAGCAAGGAAAGTTGTATGTGATTGGGCCTTTAGTCTAGCCTCATTCACCGCGCCAACAGATAATTGGGCATTATGCCAACTGATAAATGTAAAGATGTGGCAAAGGAAAAAATTATTTAAAGAACTTACACCGTTTTTTTTCTAAAGTTTGATTCAATCCAATATTAGACACAATTCCCAACCTTCCGTTCATATTGTACCATTTCATTTAAGACATCTAAAGTAATAAAACAAAACGTATTATTATTTTTTTGAGTTTATCAAAATCTTATTTCTGTTTCAGATTCTATTGGGTTCCTAATATTGGTAGTCTTCATAAGAATTTGAGATTATTCAACGACTTTAAGGAGCATGTGAAGGATTTACCACCTTTTGCGGGACCAGTGATGTTCATCTGTGGAAATCAATCCAATTTTGTTGAGTAAAAAAATTTTTCAAATAATAGTCTTTAGTAGATATAAACATTATGTTTTCTTAACAGTCCTAATAGTTGGCCGGATATTCAACAAATGTTTCCTAACTCAGAACTACATTGGCTTGATGCGGGGCATTTAGTCCATTTTGATCAGCCGGAAAAATTTGTTAATTTAGTCGTGGAATTTTTGAGACGATAATTTTAAATAAACTAAGATTATTTCACATGTATATATTATAAAATTAGTTATCATAATTTTGAGCTCAACAATGTTTATTAGCTCAATTTCAGTGGTTATAAGCTTGCTGAAAATATTTAGGGGACAGTCATTATTAAAGAAATTTGAAAATTAATATAATTTTCACAAAGGGTGGTGATATGCTTATGGAATTCTGCGGTGGTTCCCAACATACAACAAGCGACTCGTGCTCGAACTGTGATATTAACTTCGTTTTATGTTGGCAACTTCTTAACAAGTTGTGAAAGCGTTACCGAGGCAGTGGAGCTGGCTAAGGACGTGGATGCCATCTTATCTGCAAGACGGTTCACCCTACGGAAATGGAACTCGAACGATTGTCAGGTGATGATGCGTTTATCTAACGAGCCGTAACTTTCTAGTTATATTTTCCATTCTGGTGAAGCTTCCGTTTTGGGCTTAAGATGGGACACACTGAAGGATCAGTTACACTTTCGCGTTGATCTGTGTCAAAGAGTAGAAATTCCAACGAAGCGCCGCGTACTCAGCGAGGTGGCACGACTCTTCGATCCTACTGGATTATTATCGCCTGCTATAAATAATAATTTTGCGGTTATAAATAATAACTGGGAAATATTCATTCAGTGACTGTGGTCTGTGGGCCTATCCTGGGACTCACCATTGCCTGAGGATTTTTACTGCGATTGGCTAAACTGTTGGTCACAGCTTCCGAAGCTCTAATCAAATTCGCATCGAACGGTGGATGGGAATGATTCCACGCGTTCAGACATCAGCTTACATGTTTATGCCGCAGTTATTTATGCGAAGACGTCGAACACAAACGGTTCGGTGCGTTTCACACTTCTGACGGCACGCACCAAGGTGGAACCACTCAAAACTGCTACCATTCCACGCCTAGAACTTGCGGCAGGGCTCCTTGCCGATACATTTCAGAACGTGAGAGATTCTTTGGGATTATTTGACGTTCCCTACTATCTGTGGTCGGACTCAGCGATCGTATTGTGTTGGCTGAGGAAGGATCCAGCAACACTTAAACCATTCATATCAAAGCGGGTTCGTAGAATACAGGAGCTGACATCCCCCGCCCGATGGCATCACATTCGTTGAGCTCAGAACCCGGCTGATTGTGCCAGTAGAGGCATCACACCCGCCGAGCTATTAGTACATCCACTTTCGTGGCATGGACCTAAAGAAGCAGAGATGATGTATTCGGACACTAGTGATGTTCCTCTCAGCAAGGATGAGTCAAATGTCTTACTCGCCGAAAACCGAAATACAACCAAATTTATTGTACTCGTTTCACATCCGTTATATAGTTGTCGTACAAAACACTATTTTGTTAACTGAACGGTTCAGTAGTTTCACTCGATTGTTGGGTACATTGGCCATAACCCTGCACTGGTAAAGAAGGCGTCGACACTTTCGTCAACAGATGATCGTTGCTTAGGAATTGGAGGACGCATTATACACTATAATCCGTTTAGAGCAAGAGGAGCATTTTCCAGATGAAATTCGACAATTGAAGTCTAGTTCAAGTTTGCCATCTTCCAGTCGGATAATATCTTTAAATCCATTTATAGACAAGAACCAAATACTCCGTGTCGGGGTCGCATCCACCAGAGCGAACTAGGGCATGATCAACGATTCCCGATTATTCTGTCTAAATCAACGCCGTTGTTCAAGCTTTTACTAACTCTGGCACATGAGGTATGAGGAAGAGTTTCATCTATAACTGCGCTGTATGCCGCCGTCATAGAGGGGACGTCCTGATGCAACAAATGGCTTCCTTACCCGGGCAGAGGATCAGAGCAGCAAGGCCGTTCATATCATCTGGTGTTGATTATTGTGGGCCTTTCACACTACGTATCGGAACAAAACGCTCTTGAACGCTCATCAAGACGTATCACGCAATATTCATATGCATGGTCACAAAGGCCAAACAAATTGAGATGATTGATGACCTATCGGCACAGGCCTTTTTAGATGCTTTTACTCGTTTCGTCAGCCGACGCGGTCCCTGACCGACTGTTGAGGAAGATCTAGCATTATGGCAGGGTGAGAATAATCAGCGATCGTTAGCAGATTCGGGCACACACTGTCATTTCATTACACCCAGTGCACCACATCAAGGAGGGTGCTGTGAAGTCCGCTAAGCATCATTTGACACGCTGTGTGGGTGCGCAGGTCATGTGGTATAGTCAGCTGCAGACACTGGCCGTAAGAATAGAGGCCTGTCTTAATTCCCGTCCTTTGACACCACTCTACAACGATCCTGATGAGAAACTTGCATTAACGCCAGATGATTACCTGATTGGGTCGTCACGCCTAGCGGTCCCTGAAACAGATATCAAATATATTCCGAGCAACCGACTAAAACAATGGCATTCGATACGTTAAATTCAACAAGGGCTCTGGGAGCGATAGAGTGAGGAGTATCTAACCATTCTGCAGAGACGGAACAAATAGTTTCAACGCACGAGGAATATAAGGGTGAACGATATCGTTTTAGTCAAACAAGAGAACCTACCTTCCACTCACTGGTGCCTGGGTCGCGTGACAACACTACAACCCGGAGCTGATGGAGTGGTGCGCAATGTCACGTTGAGAACCGCCAGAGGATACATGAAACGAGCCAGAAACCATGTCTATTGATAGAGAAGGAGGATTTCGAGTCAACCGACTCGTCCGGGCGGGATGTTTAGAATTATTTACAGTTTTAAAGGCAAAACGTAATAATTTTTAACGCTATCTTTTAAGTTCCATGACACCGAAAACCTATAAGAATTGTGATTTGAACATCACTACAATATTATCAGAATTCCTGATGTCACAGACATTAAGCTCTATTCTGAGAAAACCTCAAAACTTATTTGTGAGGTTAAAAATAAGTTCCTCAAATCTATTTCAATCAAATAAATATCAAATTTGTTTAAAATATATTGAAATAAACAAAACATACGCAACTGGTTTTGAATTGTGAGAGGTGCAGACTTTACACATTTGTGAGGAAATTTTGAGCTTTTGAATTTACGCCAGAATAAGGTAAACCTCACAAAATTCAAATACCTCACAATAGTGACTATTGTGAGGGCATGTGAATAAGGCTGATCTTCTTATCGGTTTGAATTTTGATTCCGACGACTATCAGATTCCACACTGAATACTATGAAAACCAAAACGGATAAAAGTTGACTAATTGGTTACCGATTAGTTATCAGTAATTATTGTATTTGTTCTCCGATAGGTTACTTTTGTTCTAGCCTCGGAAAAAATTAACTACTTTTTCTCTTTCACTACAAGTAGGTGTGATTATCTTACTCACTTTCTCATTGCATTTGCGCAAATGCTACATATACCATATTTTACTGATCTAATTTGCCAACTATTTTGGAAAACTATCTGTTATTCTTTGGTTAACAGCGTCCTTTTCATTGGCTACTTGTTTGTTACCTACTAATTACAGCCATTGGTTACCACTGCCTAACCTGTTGGTTACTTTTTATATTAAATTTTATAAACAAAAAAATTAAAACTTACTTTATTTTTCTTTATTTACTTTTTTATTAAATTTCTATTTTTATAAATTATCGTTTTGTTTTTCATTTCTATTTTTTATTTTTTACAAATCTAGCGTAATTATTTTTGATTAGCTGTTAAATATTAGCATTTATATATATATATATATATATCACAAATTAAATTTTTCTTCTTACAATCATTTTCTTGGCATTTATATACGTGCTATACTATCATTATTTTGATAAAAAGCGAATGGTTTAATTGTTATACTTTTTATAATTTACAATAATAGTTACATTAATTTACTAATTCTTAATATTCGCACATTATGTATATACATGTATTCTCAATAAATAATATTTTAAAATGGTTAATTTAGTACTTAATACTAATAAGTAACTTAAATTCTATAATTTAAAAACTAAAATAGTGATTTTGAACTCCAGCTTGAGATCTTTCCACTGAAATTTGCAAATATCTAAAATGAACAAAAGGGAATTAAAAATTATTTTCTTTTGTATTTGTTAAAGTAAAGTAGCTACATTATATTTTAAAAATAAATGCATGCAAGTTTTTACACAATTCATATAAAAAGTTGAGAGTTGAGATTTTAACATAGAATCTTTTGTTTACCTCCCGTAACCTTTTGTTTGGTTACCTAACAAATGATTAACATGGGTTATTTATGTACCAAAAAAATGTTAAAATTTCAGCTGATGACAATTTCAAACCAAACATAAGATTTAATGTTAAGATGAAGAAATCTTCCACTTTCAATTTTGAGCTTATATAAACCAAGAGAAACCAATTTTAATAAAAATTCCAATAAATAAAGTATACCTATATACATAATCAACATAGAAATATACAAAATTGGCCTGTTATGATAAAATTATTCATAACTATATGATATTATAATGCCGATAAATGGCTTCAATTGTATACCTATAACATCTAGACGAGTTATATAATTTACTTACTTGTATTCAAGAAGCTGTCATTACCTCACACAAGGCCAAAGGACGATAGTTCCCATACAAGCCGTAGAACTTTAGTACACCATTAATTCCCCTCTTACCGATTTACGCACAACCTCTATGGCCAACACTTGAAATATTTCAATTCGATACGCAGCAACCATGGCGAAACGAGTGTTGGATTGAAATCGTGCATCTCATAGTGGAAATTTTCGAATTTCTAATAGTCATCTTGCAGTAAACATTTACGAATTCTTCTCAGTGCTGGCCGTTACCTTCCGCAAGGTGGTGTGCTCCAAACGACACAGCACATTCTTAGCCTTTTCGACCCCGCACACCCAATGTTGCGTTATTTAACGACACACCAGCAATATGGAAAGTGTTGAGTAACATCTAAACAACACTTAAACAAAAACAAAACGTTAACTTTGGTTGCACCGAAGCTATAATATCCTTCACAAATACAAAGGTTCTTTATAAGAACTTGATTCCGATCGTTCAATCTGTATGGCAGTTATGTGATATAATGGTGCGATATCAACCGTTCTAACAAATGACCAGCTTCTTAGTTAGAAAATGACAACTGCAAAAATTCAGATCCATAGCTTAAAAACTGAGGGACTAGTTCGCAGACAGACAGACGGGCAGACATACGGGCACGGCTAAATCAACTCAGCTCATTATGCTGACCATATATGTATATATTTTATAGAATATCCGACGTTCCCTCTGGGTGTTACAAACTTCTGATGTTAACAATTTCTTCAAAGATAAAATTTTTGCCTTAGACAACAACTCATGCCTAATTTTGTGGATATCTAGTCAAATGAAAGAGTTTTCCATGTAAGCACTTGATTCCGATCGTTCAATTTGTTTGGCAGCTAAATGCTATAGTGATCTGATCTGAACAATTGTTGCCTTAGACAATAATCCATGACTAATTTTGTGAATATACCTCGTCAAATGAAAGAATTTTCCATGCAAGCACTTTATTCCGATCGTTCAGTTGATATGGAAGCTGTATGCTATAGTGATCCGATCTGAACAATTTCTTTGGATTACATTTTAGCTTTAGGAAATAACACATGCCAAATTTCGTGAAGATATTGCGTAATATAAAAAAGTTTCCTATACAAGCACTTGATTCCGATTGTTCAGTTTGTATGGCAGCTATATGCTATAATGGAGAAAAGGACAGCTGCAAAAATTCAAATCGATAGCTTAAAAACTGAGGGACTAGTTCGCATATATACAGACAGACGGACGGACATGGCTAAATCAACTCAGCTTATTATGCTGATCATATATGTATATATTTTTTAGGATCTCCGACGTTTCCTTCTGGGTGTTACAAACTTCGTGGCAAACTTAATATACCCTGTTCAGGGATTAAAAATACACAAAGTAAATAAATAAGTAATTAATTTAAGTAATTAAATCACCCAAACTCTGTTCCTACTCTTACAACGGAGTTTTCCATTTAAAAACAAAAAGTTGGTTTTGAATATGTAGTGGTGTAAGAGGTGAAATTTTACAAGTGTAGTAGTGAATTGGTTACCTCTCGTAGGTGTGCGCAGCGGTTCGTTTAAATTTGTTTGCCCACATTGCTGTATGTACACATTTATTAGTAGTCAGAATTTTCTAGTCCGTGCACTGAATGAAATTATATACTACAATATCAAACTGAGCAATTCCAAATTTCACTTTCAGTTGTCAACCGATTCGCACATAGCCGTAATATACAAACAATATATGTGTATACCATACAAGGATGTATAACATAAAATACAAATTTTCGAAAATATAGCATCAGGATAAAAATTAGCAGAGGTAAGGGAGGCGTATATGATTCGAGTGGGATATAAACTTAGATCGGATTGGCTAAATGATCACTCAATCCCCCCTCACCATAAGACACTGTCACACCATATCAATTCACATCCAGATCACCACACCTACTTACCATACATTCCACATCACTACACCATGCACCAACACGCACACAAATACAACATCACCACGATCACACCACCACGAAAACATCAACAGATATATAAGGAACTAAAAAAGGATCCCGCACGCTTTTTAGCATTCGATTCGCTAACGATCACATCTTTCGGTTCAAGTACCCGCCTAAATTCACTTCGTTTTTTTTGTTTTTATCAACTGATTTTACGAAAGGTGAGTGAAATTAAAATTAATTTATTAGTTACTTTATTATGGTCCTTCGAGCCCTAGTGGACGGCACTTTGGGTTATTAAACTAAAAACAAAAGTATTAAAATAATAACGTGAACAAAAAATAATAAAGTGAACAAAAAATATTGTGCAAAATAAATGAACTAAAAGTGAAAAAAAACCAAAACGATGCATTTATTTGAAAAAAAGGGTGCAGTGTCAAAGTTGCGGTGCCAAAAAGTGAACAAAAAGAAAACCAAAACGGTGCATTTATTGAAACAAAAAACAAAACAAACAAGTAAGGAAGGGCTAAGTTCGGATGTAACCGAACATTTTATACTCTCGCAAAGTCAAATGGTATACTCGTTTGAGATTTCTTTGTGGATTGACTGATATTTTCGGTAGAAGGTCAACTATAGGCACTGGGGTCCACATATTTAGTACTTAGGGGTTTGAACAGGCCGCAAGGTGGCATACTTTAATTGCATTATTCACGCAAAGTTTTACCCCGATATAATCATGGTTACCTGATTTGCATAGTGGAAAGTGAAAGAATCAGATGGAATTGAAAATGGTGTTACATGGGAAGCGTGGTTGTAGTCCGATTTCGCACTATGACATAGAAACATGAAAAGAACGTCACGCACCGAATTTGGTTGAAATCGGTTAAGCAGATCTCAAGATATGGGTTTTCACCTAAAAGTGGGCTGTGCCACTCCCACTGACTAATTTTGAACGCGGTTCCTATAAAGCCAATTTATACCATCTCAGAGATAAAATTTAATGTCTCTGGCGTGTTTAGTGCTTGATTTATCGCGCTTTTAGTAGTTTTTAACAGTACCGTTATATGGGGAGTGGGCGGAGTTGCCACCCGATTTCAACTATTTTCACACCGTCAATAGAAGTGAATTTTGTTATTATAGCATTAGCGGTTTAGGAGATATGCACATTAAACCTATTAGAGGCGGGACCACGCCCACTTTTTAAAAAAAAGTTTTAACTGCAGATGCCCCTCCCTAATGTAATCCTGTGTACCAAATAACAGTCTTGTATCTTATTGCGGAGCTTAGTTATGGCAAGTTATTTGTTTTTGATTAATGGCGTTTTGTGGGCGTGGCAGTGGTCCGATTACGCCCATCTGCAATACCAACTGTCTCACGGTACCAAGAAACATGTCTACTAAGTTTCATAAAGATATATCAATTTTTACTCAAGTTAGAGCTTGCACGGACGGACAGACAGTCACCCGGATTTCAACTCGTCTCTTCATCCTGATCATTTATAT